TACGAGTTCCATATCAACGCCATGGGCCAGTACGATCCAATACTGGACTACCTGCAAGGTCAAGAGCCTGAGAAGTATAAAGATGACGACTGGGTTTACGATAGAAGTAAGAACAACTACCCTATGCACAGGTACAAAGAATCTGAGACGATGTTCTTGCATTGTAATCAGCCGAAGCTATACCCATGGGACATTGATGGTGATGGATACAGAAAGATCCACGACGCTGCGGGCAATACAAGAAGGCTGTATTCCCATTACCTTCACGAGGAGTTAGGTTTTGATGCTGAGGCCAAGATCTGGGAATCCATGCAATGGTTACTGTGTAACCATGGTGATATGATGATCAAAGGATTAGACGCACCAGATCTTTGGTGCAAGAAAGTCACAGATCATCTGCATTGGCTAAGAGCACATCCAGAAGATATTGAGATCAACGCGGAAAATATCGATAGTCAATGAAACAAGATTGTGTTCTTATTTCATTTGATCTGTTTGATATCTCATCAGGGAAACGGTCACTCCAACATCGTTTTCCGGACAATTTCATACATGGGACGTCTATTTAAAGCCCAATCAAACAGCTCAATTACTCACTTGCGTCTATAAAACCCCCTCCGCTAGTAACCAGATACATTATATTGCCATTTTGAAAGTGACTCTCCAATTTCTCAATCGTCTCTGAATGGTGAAAGGGAATACTTTGTATTTATTCCAGTACCCTTCCAGCGTTTTCTCTTTCAACCTACATATCCACCCCTAACGAGTCGAAAGTGGGCAAGAGCCTGCCTGGGAAATCTAAATTCTTTTAAGTATGCCTTTATCAAGTACCTGAATGAGAACTTGCATACTGTCAAACTCCAGGTATTTCATTGTAGAGCATGGATTTGTGTAGCATGGTGTGCAAATCCTGTTATTCTTGAAGTTCTAAAAAGAGCACCAGTTCCGGTAGTAACGTTGTCAGCAGTGTGTGCTGAGGAGCCTCAAGTGTCTTCTAACCAGACAA